AATGAAGCAAACAAGAAAGTTGTGTGAGTGAGTGAGTCACTTGATATGATTATGAGTGGCAATAGTTTGTGCTCGAAACTTGTGATCATCAGTTGATATTAATGTATAAAACTACACTGTGAGACAGTTTATCAAAATAAAATCTTATCTATAATGGAGTTGTAGCAGACAGATTCATAGACAGGAATTTTAAACATGCTATTATTTACTCCATGTAAAATGTAAAATGAAGCTACAGGACTGGTCTGCACCGACTGTTACTGTTACTGCCGGATGATAAGCTGTTGTGGAGATATGTTTCACTCCAAGGAGTCTCGTTAGTTCACGAAACAACGTCGATTGGAATTGAACGCCTCAGTCGGATGTAATAGTAGTTGGTACACCGTAATTTGACACCCAACGGTCGAGAAAAACCAAAGCAACATTTTCTGCAGATATATCGTTTAGGAGGCATGCAATAGCCCATCGAGTAAATCTATCGATGGCTGTCAGGATATGTGTGTATATCCTCTTGATGTTGGTAGTGGTCCTACAATGTCTATATGAACATGTTGAAATCTCTTATCCTGTAAATCAAACGTCTTCGGCGTTGTAACAGTGTGGCGATATACTTTTTTTGAGCATTGGCATTGGAGACATTCCCGTGCCCATCTCCGAATGTCAGAGTTCATTCTAGGCCACACGAAACGTTCGCTGATAAGTCTGGCCGTAGCACGTACTCCAGGATGAGAAAGCGAATGTTGAAACAACGCTTTTCAGCATCTGAGAGGAACAAACCGACGATTAGTGCCGGTGTAACAACAGAAGACAAGGGCCAGGCAACAGATCGTTTTATTATGAAAATCAACACGTATTTATATATATTTCACATACATTATTACAGCTTATGCAAGTAGACAAGCGCAGTCATCTGATTGGTTGTTTATCAGAAGTTAGGCAGACAAACGCAGGCTTCGGATTGGTTGTTTAGGGATTCCTCGACAAATAGAGTTCTCTATCTGCGAATCATATTTTGCCACGTTAACTTTGCTGTGATTGGTTGTTAAATCAGCCTTGTACATATTTTCTCACGGCCTGCTCTCACCACACTCGTCCCCCCATCAAAGACTTGCGACCGAAGTCTGCTTGATCTTCTTGGTGCAGGCGTCATCGTTGGCTTGTCTCGCTGCATCCATTTCTGGAGCTCGCTGACGTTCACGCGCCTCTCATTGTTCGCTATTGCGACTGTGTCTGCGTAACCCCATCTCGACGTGACCATATGTGGTCCCACCCACTTTGGAAAATGTTCGCCTGACCCTGTCGAACACTCGTCGTTATTTCGGCTCACACTTTCATATGCTGCTTTCGCCCGACCTCCCAGCAGCGTTCCAAGTAGCAGCTCCGTCGCTGACAGATCTTGAACGCCACTCAACTGCGCAGAAGCCTTGAAGTCCTGCCCGAAGATCCATATGTCTCCATCAAAAACTGCAGGACATAGGCTTTCCATTTGTCGGTAGGCAGCGACACCAAATGTAACAACAGAAGACAAGGGCCAGGCAACAGATCGTTTTATTATGAAAATCAACACGTATTTATATATATATTTCACATACATTATTACAGCTTATGCAAGTAGACAAGCGCAGTCATCTGATTGGTTGTTTATCAGAAGTTAGGCAGACAAACGCAGGCTTCGGATTGGTTGTTTAGGGATTCCTCGACAAATAGAGTTCTCTATCTGCGAATCATATTTTGCCACGTTAACTTTGCTGTGATTGGTTGTTAAATCAGCCTTGTACATATTTTCTCACGGCCTGCTCTCACCACACCGGTAGATGCTTCGCAAACTATAGTTGCCTCTGATAAAGGAATAAGTACGTCCTTGAACTGTAAGGAAGAGTTTCCGCGACACTTTCAGGATAAGGAGTGAAATGGCTGTTTTTAGGAGTTGCATCAACTATAATGAACTAAACACAGACGAAATCTTAGTTCGAATACAAAAGATACGCCGAGGAGTTTGCGTCCACGTGATATTCCTTTATCCTTAAGAGAACGTGTGTACTAGACAGCAGTTCACCCCATACTTCTTTCCGGCTGTGAGTCTTTGGCTGTTGAAGTTGGAACATATGAAGAGCCTTACCATCCGTCTTTGTTCCTAAGGTTTTGTCTCTCTCCTGTTAAGTGGCGTGATATGGAGAGAAACAATGAGGTTATTTGTGTAGGGTATTGAATACATAGAGAAAGTCAACTCATAAGGTTGTCAATGTGAATCGACTGAGATGGCTAGGGAGTCTATTATTCATAACAAATGGCCGCTCCCATCGACGAGCAATGTTAGCTGAGAAGTCTGACAGGTCCGAAAAAGAGGTTTCTAGTTGTAGAACCAAAACATTATACCAAGTGTTTGACTGTTGTTAGTTTGAGCCACTTAGAGAGGTATAGATTGTCTGATAACCGGGGACCCGCTGATATTCGATGACTGCAAACTATTGGTGACATGGCTCAAAATAGTTCCCAGTGCCTCAAATAATTTAAATACACCAAACGAAACCTGACCCGTTCACTGAACTACAGAGTTCGCAGAATTTGCACCCCGGACACCATAGAAGATGAACTGGACAATATCTAGAGAATCCTCGTCGAGAATTTTTATCCAGAACGATTTATTGCAAAATCTATGTATCCTAGACCACAAAAGCTGCACATCCTTAGCGTCTCGAAAAACTACTCTACATGAACCTTCGATTCAATGGAGGTATATCTGCGGAAACACTAAGAAACCGACTGTCGAGTTCACTTAAGAAGACCTTCTTCGCAGCTTCACTACGACTAACATTCTCAACAAAGCTTATGATTCACGTGAACGTGAGGGATAAGCTATCACTACTGGCCTCATCAATGTGTATTTATCAATTCACCTGCTCGCGCGGAGCAAGGTATGTCAGTAGTACCCCGTGTTCGATTTCCAAACGTGTCACCAAACACTTGCCAACATGGTTTTACAAAGGAGAAAAACGATGCCCCGAAGCTCCATCCTAGAATATCTGACAGATTCAGGACACCAAGCTACACTCTAAACAAACTTCAAAGTCGTCTACAGAATACAAACCAGCCTTCCTAAAGGTGTACGAATCAAACTTCTTCAAACTGTAGAAGCAATGGCGATTCACTTGCTAAGTCCTGAACTCTGCATACAGAAGAAGTTCGTTCAATCACTACACTTGCAATGGACATAATCTATCTTATTACCCGACAAGTAAATTCTACCTAATCCTTTTCTCTTCTGTCTCTTCATTAGTATTATTTTGTCTTTTCAGTTGTAATATTTTACATTTTCAACCTTCCTGTTCTCTACCCTCACCCGATTTAATTTCTACACCTCATCACCACTGTTACTGACTTGACCAACGCTCAATTTCTAGCCATTTATGTTACTTAATCCAACCTGAGTAATTATCTAAACTTGACAAACCTCACACACAAATAATTATATATATATATAAATGCGATTGTACAGCTAGCTATGTGAATGAATTCGCCGGCGAAAAGAGTCTCTTCGCTGAACGTCTTCTCTTTTTCAAAGGTATAAGTGAAAAGTAAAATATAGTCTAACTGTTTCTAGACGGTTTGTTGATAGAAGTGTTATTATCACAATGGCTAAGTATGGTGTGACTGTTGCAAGTATTGCAAAAAGTATTTCAAGCATTGATTTGTGAGGATTTTGTTTGATTGGTTGGAGGATTTCATCATGAGCGCTGACATGAGTTAGAGAACCCTTATTGGAAAAGCACCAGTGAAGTACTTGGACAGTTGTTTCTCCCGTCCTAGTTTATGGCTGTTCAACAGCATGCTCCCACCCACGAGGTTCGAATCCAGGACCACGATCTGGTTACAAGGCTAGCGAGCTAGCTCGTAGACCATAAAGCCACTGGGGTCCGATCCAATGGCGGGCCAGCCAGCCAATGCATGAATTAGAACTTCTGCCAATTCATGCACGATATAGCGCGACCACTTATCGATGTCTTCAATGGTAATAACTGTCTTTACCTTCGACTTAAGTGACAACAGAGCACAAAAACTGAGTAGTACCAAGGAAAATCTATGACAGGAAGTGAGACATATAAGAGAAGTCTTGAAACTTAATAATTACCCTGATATATTTATTAGTCAGAAAGTATGTAGGGAAATGTAGAAATAAAATAAATAATGATAGTAAAGACAGTGATAATAATAATAATATTAATGACGACATGCATTCCAAATATGCGCAAGACAACACCGACAATAAGGAATCTAAATCATCAGTAGTAATTCCATACAAGGAAGGAACCTCGGAAACACCTTACGCAGAATTCTTAACGATGCAGCCAGGAATAAAAGTGGCTGGCATTCAAACCAACCACAAACTCAATTATAATCAAGCTTTTTCGGTTAAAGGATCAATCCTGACAGTGGAGCCTTTAAAACAAAACAATTTAGTTTATCTGATACCCTGCCTGACTGCAACGGTTGTCAGGTGAAATACATAGGTCAAACTAGTAGAACAGGGTCAGTGAGTTAGACCAGCCGAGCATAAACACCTAGCAGCGAAATCTAGATTGGTTGACCCGAATAAGGTAAGAAATCTAGAGAATAGTTCAGCTATCGCAACCACTATACCATATGCGATCACACACAACCATGCAATAGGCTGGATGGGATAAGATGATAGTTTCAAAATCTTGTTTTTAAATTCTACTACCCCAACGATGACAAATAGGAGAGGACAAAGAACACCATAAAACTCAAGTTTCGAAGTCGTGTGATTATAATTGATGATATGATTATGTGTTCGAAACTTTGTCATCCAGTAGATACTAATACTGTTTCACTCAGTGTGTGATACATCTAATAAACGAACTAATATGGAATTATATTATAAATTATATTTCAGAGCATACTTATCACTTCTTTTCTTAAAACAGTGACAGTTAGTTATATGCGCATTTAACACATTGCTCTTCGTTGGTATTCTGCTGTCGTCACACTGTAATCCTCGATTCGGAAGTAACGGTTTCATTTTGTTTCAGAAACCTGAAAACCAGGAAAACAGAGAGAAGCCGACTAATAAACCTCCATTTATATACATAAACCAGTGAAATAATTAGAAGTGAATCCTTCTATAAAGTAATTTTAATAAACAAATACTCAACATTGGGTTCTTTTTGGTTGCGGATCGCATTAGAATCCGAGAAATTACTTCCTCTCCCGTATTCAGTCTGTCAACTAGAACATACTTCTTTGCCAGTAAATTCTACGGTATCAAACGACAGAAATATATATATATATATATAAAATATTCCCATAGTAAAATTTAGATCAACACATTTAAGCGAACAATATTGTTGTTTTCAATTAGATCTCATCAGGCTTAACTCTAATATACACACATAACTTTACAAATAAAAATTCAAATATAAACCAATCATGGTGTTTTGTCTATTGGATAATAAGATGGTGACTATAAATTTTGCAATTTGTCATAAAAATAATAATAATAATAATAGTTTTATCAATCATAAGGATGAAAAAGTGAGGCAATCTGTGATAACACGAATAACCAGAAACAGTATGGTTAAACAAAAAAATGTTCAGGTGGAAGTAGTAGTCGGTAAAGGCTCATAAAAACAAATGAACCCATTAAGTAATGCTAGATTGTAAGGAAAGTAAATGAGACACGTTTTTAATGAAAATGTGATCAGATTAAGGGATGATAAGAGATGGGTTGAAAATATAAGTAAGGGGTGGTGGAGAAGTCATCAGTTGGTTATGTCTTAATAGGCCAACAAGAGAGAGTTAATGGCTGTACCAACCTCTTTTGAATGCATAGTTTAGGTTTAATAGCTCGAATACCTATCGCCTCAGCTATGTGCAGTAGACGAATACGAAGTCTATTGGAAAGATTCAGTGGGATACGATGAGTTACTTTGAAAGCTCTCGTTTTCTCCACTACATGAGCACTATCAATTAAATGTGACAAAATTGAGCTACGAATTGTTTTTGTCTGTCCTTTGCCAAACCACAATGTTGGGAGATGTTCACTAACACGTTGGCTAAGCTGTCTAGTAGTACGCCCAACACAACTGTCACCGCAGGTGCAGTTGAATTGATAAATGTACATAGATGTGGCAAAACTATCTAGCTATCTATCCTTCGTTTGCGTCCCAATCATTCGTCTGCTGGAGAATGACAAACACAGGTATGCTGCGTAAAACCTTCTCCGTATACTCCTGGAAAGTCTCTGGAACAAAATCTCACTTGACAAGTCACCACTAAATCGTAACTTAATAAATAGAGGCGTTTTACGTGCAGTCAGAGTCTCAACTTTTCTCTCTGATGTTCTCATATATATATACATATATGATAGGTAAGTGAACCCCATCTTTTAGAAGTAAGCTAACGTTGCAAAATTATACATTGGTAACAGAATAGTTAAGATATATATATATATATATATATATATTGGAAAGTGATGAAAAACAAAAATGTTATTCCACTGAGGCCTATAGAAAACAAATCAAAAAGTAAACAATCACCTATTTCAGTAAATTAAATATTCCCATAATTTATTCAGAACAAAATATTTAGAGCGAACAATTGTTTTCAATAAATTCTTCTTCAGGCTCTACAATTATAAATCCATTAATGTAAGCATACAATAGCCAGTAAAGGCGAATTAGAATCATATCAGAAAGTGTATTGTGGAACAAGTATAAGATGGGATGAAACAATAGTCATATAGTCATATAGTTTTTTAATATGCATGGTCAATAACAACATGGGACAGAATGAGATGAAATAATTTAATTTAATGATGTATATATATATAGTTAACAGAAAATACAGGTTTCGAGAGTGAGTGTAATCAGGGTGTGTGAGGCAATATGAAAATAAACCAACGAATGGGGCGGTCTAGACTTAAGTTCAAGGTTGAAAATAACAACAATAAGAATGATTGTAAAATAATAACGATGATATGGTGTAAAATTAAAATTAAATGAACTATTGGTGAATGATTGTCAAATAATAATAATGAATATTATGATTATAACCGGTACGTTTTCAATTTTTCCTCTGTATGCTTAGATAAGACACAGCTTGAAGCCTTATCTCTCGGTTTAAAATTCTGTGACAGACGTAATCAGGTTGATCATTTAGAGACTGATGTCCAATTTGAAAACCTATTTGCCCAGACAAGCGACCTAACTCCTACGTCCAAGTATGAGCTAGAAAGATTTGAAAGTACCTTAATCGATTCCTGCTACCAGTTTAAGAACAGCAAACATCCCGCCAACAGTCTACTTACAAAGAAACACCGAGAGGCATTACGTGACCTCAAAAAGAACGAAAATCTGATAATAACTAGACCTGATAAAGGATCTGGCACAGTTATCATGAACAAGAGTGATTATTTAGACAAAATGAATATCATTCTAAACGACCATACGAAATTTCAAAAGCTAAGCAGTTGTAAAGACACAACGGAGGCAACCGAACGCCAAATGGCTAAGACACTAAAATCATTAGTTGAGAGTAATCTGATTCCTAAAGAAACACTCGACGAATTGAAACCCTCAGGTACGCACACACCAAGACTTTATGGTTTACCGAAAGTCCATAAGCCGGGAGTACCACTACGTCCCATCTTAGATATGTGCCAATCCCCTTATCATTCTACAGCTAAGTGGTTGGTAAAGGCACTAGAACCACTACATCGCGAAGTAGTGAAATTCAGTGTAAAAGACGTATTCAGCTTTGTGGAAACTACCAAAAGCTTGAATGTAAAGGGAAAGAAAATGATGTCACTGGATGTAGCATCATTATTCACCAATGTCCCACTGCTTGAAACAGTCAACTACATATGTGACCAGCTGATAGAAAAGAAAATAGATGTAGGAATCCCACCCGAAAAGGTCAAAGAATTATTATTGAAATGCACTATGAATGTTCAGTTTATGTTCAATAATGGTTTTTATAGACAAGTTGATGGGGTAGCCATGGGATCACCTTTGGGCCCTTTGCTAGCGGATATTTTCCTGGCAAAGCTTGAAAATGGTCCACTCAAAGACACGATTAAAGGGCTTGACTATTATTGTCGATACGTAGATGATACGTTTATCGTTTGTAATAGAAATCTTAATAAACAAGAGCTTCTGAATACCGTTAATAGTGCTCACCCAACTATTCAGTTTACATGTGAAGAAGAAGACAATAACAGTTTACCTTTCCTAGACGTCCTACTTACCATGAAGACAGACGGATATCTACAAAGGAAATTATTTAGAAAGAAAACTTGGACGGGTCAGTACACCCATTTCCATAGTTTCACACCGATTCAGCATAAAAGAAACTTAGTTAAGTGTCTTAGCTACAGAATAAAACGAATATGCTCAGAGGAATGCATTAAGGAAGAAATGCATAAACTAAAACTCACACTGCAAGAGAATGGATATCCACAGAGCTTCCTAAGAAAGTATATGTCAATACCTATAGACAGGGTAAAGGTGGATACCGTAGACAAGAAACCTTTGTATCTTAAGTTAAGTTACAAAGGGGAAATTGCAGCTGACATTCTAAAGTGTCGACTCAATAGAGCAATAGATAGAACATTTCCCGCAGCTAAATTGGTACTAAACTTCTCAACTAAACCAGTACTCACACAGCAAGTAAAGGATAAATTACCAAAGATGGCCTCATCAATGTGCATCTACGAATTCAACTGCTCATGTGGAGCTAGTTATATTGGCCGTACTCAGAGGGCTTTATCCATGCGCGCACGTGAACATGTACCTGTATGGTTGAGTAAAGGAGTAACCAAAGGCATAAATAGTGCAGTCTTAGCCCACTTGGTAGATACTGGACACCCGATAAAACTTGACCAAGCGTTCTCAGTTATTTACCGCGTTCCTAGTAATTTATCTAGAGGAGCTCGACTACGTCTTCTATCAGTAGCTGAAGCAGTTGCAATTAATACCAGAAGACCATCCCTCTGCATACAGAAGAAGTATGTTCAACCTCTATGTTTACCTTGGCCTACAATAAAGCCAACAAATCCTCCATTAACACTATAAATTCCTTTCGCGATTTTCTTTTCTTTTCCTTCTTCTATTCCTCTGTTTCATTGACAAACGTTCATTTTCGACTTTTATGATTTCATGACCTTTCTTATGATTTTATTACCTTAGGTTTAAATAGTGCTTTTCTAACTTACTATCGTATTTACAAAATCCTGTTCATTCCACTTCATTATATTCATTATTATTATTTGACAATCATTCACCAATAGTACATTTAATTTTAATTTTACACCATATCATCGTTATTATTTTACAATCATTCTTATTGTTGTTATTTTCAACCTTGAACTTAAGTCTAGACCGCCCCATTCGTTGGTTTATTTTCATATTGCCTCACACACCCTGATTACACTCACTCTCGAAACCTGTATTTTCTGTTAACTATATATATATACATCATTAAATTAAATTATTTCATCTCATTCTGTCCCATGTTGTTATTGACCATGCATATTAAAAAACTATATGACTATATGACTATTGTTTCATCCCATCTTATACTTGTTCCACAATACACTTTCTGATATGATTCTAATTCGCCTTTACTGGCTATTGTATGCTTACATTAATGGATTTATAATTGTAGAGCCTGAAGAAGAATTTATTGAAAACAATTGTTCGCTCTAAATATTTTGTTCTGAATCACCTATTTATCTGTTTTTGAAAAAAATGTTCACTAGTGAGTCATAGTTAATGGAATACTTGGTGAGGGCTGTCTGCTAGCCAAAATCGGTAGAGAGTAATTTACGTCTATGTGCCCGTCACTAATATTGGTCATGAGAAAAGAACAAGAACAAAGACTGACTGACTCAACAACCACAGAAGAATTCGCATCGGCGGATACAATTTGCAGATAGCCGATGATCTCAACTTCAAGAAACGGCTACAAACAGATGAAAGATTAACGTTCAGAGAGAAACAACCACCAATCAGAAAACTGTGTTTGTCTGTTAACAATAATCCATAATAATCTACATGAAAATCGAAAGGTATATCTGTTGATTCCCCAAATAACCGATCTGTTGCCTGGTCCCTGTCTTCTGTCACCACAATACTACCTTAGAACTTTGAGGTGGAGAAAAGACTGCACTGTTAGTACTGTAACAACAGAAGACAAGGGCGAAGCAACAGATCGTTTTATTATAAAAATCAACACGTATTTATTTATATTTCACATACATTATTATAGCTTATGCAAGTAGAAAAGCGCAGTCATCTGATTGGTTGCAGACAAACGCAGGCTTCTGGTTGGTTGTTTCGGGATTCCTTGACAAATAGAGTTCTCTATCTGCGAATCATATTTTGCCACGTTAACTTTGGTGTGATTGGTTGTTGAATCAGCCTTGTTCATATTTTCTCACGGCCCATATTAGTGACCTAGACATTAACGTAGATTAGTGTCAACCAATCGGCTAGCAGCCTGCTCTCACCACAGTACTACAATGAATATTTATTTACTAACGTGATGTACATTCCATCCTAAGATTAACAATCTAAAACCAAACCTCTTAGTCGGCACACAAAAGTAGCGATTGTTGACAGTCCATACAATTAATGCTAATAGATTGTTGGAGGCAATCGGCCAGAGGAAGTCTTCCCCGGACCTATTATTATATTATTGTATCCTTTATTTCCTAGAGGAACATAGAGCTTCAGCTGCGCACCTCCATTGCCTTCTGTTTTCTGACAACTTTTTCACCCCGATCCAGGTTTGTCCACATGCTTTCATCTCCTCCCCGCATGACCTCCTCCAAGTCACCCTTGCAGTGACGACCAACTCGCCGCCTCCCTTTCCGGTTCCACTTGAGCGATGGCTTGTCTAGTGATGTCACTTGATGGTTTCCTCAGAGTATGGCCAATCCATCTCCATTTCCTCCTGCCTATTTGTTTCACAATCGGTTACTGATTGGTTCGCTCCCAGAGATCCCTGTTGCTGATCTTTTCTGGCCGGCCATCTGATCTTGAGTATTGAGCGAAGACAGCTGTTAATGAAGGTCTGAAGTTTGTTTGAGATGCTCTTTATGACTCGCCAAGTCTCTGATCCGTATAGTAGCACTGACTTTACATTGGAGTTGAAAATCCGGATCTTATTTTTGATGCTGAGCAGTGCTGTTGACCTCCACACAGACTTGAGTGATTAATGAAAGCTTCTCTTGCTTTTCGGATTCTGGCTTTGATATCCTCGTCAGTTCCTCCGCCTGTAGTTGAAACGATGCTTCCCAGGGTAGGTAAAGGAGGTTGTTTCTTTCAGGTTCCTCCCATTTATGCTGCTATTGTTGTCTGTTGTTGTGGCTGTTGCTGTTGGTGTTGGCCACGAATCCTCACCACCTCTGTTTTATCTATGTTCACTTGAAGTCCTATCTTTGATGCATCTTCTGCCAGCTTGTTGCTTTTCACTTGCATATCTTCCAGTTTGTGGGAAATCAGACATATATCATCGGCGAAGTCCAGTTCCTCCAAGTTCTTTGTGTCAGTCCATTTTATGCCTGTTTCCTCATTGCCGGTTGTCTTTCGCATTATCCAATCTACTGCAGTCAGGAAGATGATTGGCGATAGTAGACAGCCTCGCCTCACTCCCGTCCTCCACTCGAAGGCTTCAGTAAGTTTCCCGTTGTGGATTACTTGGCATGCAGCATTTTCTCATAACTGTTGGATGAGACGTATAAATGTCGATGGGACCCCGTAGTAGCGAAGTAGTTTCCAAATGACCCTTCGATCGACACTGTCGAAGGCCTTTTCAAAGTCGATGAAGTTGAGATAGAGAGGTGACTGCTGCCATTCTAGGCTTTGTTCAATGATGATCCGTAGTGTGGCAATTTGATCAATACATGACTTGTTTCTCCTGAAGCCAGCCTGTTCTGGTCGAAGTTTTTCATCCAGGGCTTGTTTGATTCTCTCCAGGATGATGCGACTTAGTATCTTGCTTGGAATGGACAGAAGCATAATTCCACGCCAGTTTTTACATTGACTTAAGTCTCCTTTCTTTGGAAGTTTGAATAAGTAACTGTTCTTCCAATCCTCGGGTACTTTGCCCTCTTTCCACACCTTCTCCAGCAGTGGCGTCATCAAATCCGCTCTTGTCTCTGGGTCTATTTTCAAAGCTTCTGCTGGGATTCCATCTGGTCATGGTGCTTTCCCAGCTTTTAGCATCTTGATTGCATTCAGGACTTCTGATTTCGTCGGGGGTCAATGTTCACTGGTAGTTCTGCTTCCGTTGTTGGTGTTGTTGGGCGTGCTGTAGGTGGCGGACGATTTAGAAGTCTTTTGAAGTGTTCAGCCCAGTGCTTTCTCTGTTCCACCTCTTTGGTGATTGACTTTCCATTGTCGACCTTTATTAGCTTAATCTGTGTCGAACTTTTGCCCGATAGGTGCCTAGTTGTTTGGTAGAGTGTGGCGAGGTCTCCTTTGCCTGCAGCTTGTTCTGCTTCGTTTGCCATGGTTTCATAATATTTTCTTTTGTCTTCCCTGGCACTCTTACTCACTCTTTTGTTCAGCGTGTTGTAGCTTGCATTGAACTCCTGTTTTTCCTACTCGTTGGTGCACTGTATAATCTTTTGTTTCATGATCCTTCTTACTTCTATTAGTCTCCAAGTGTCTTTAGTGAGCCACTGTTTGTCCTGTCTTTTCTTTCTGCCTAGAACTTCCATGCAGGTTTTACTCCACACCGTTTTCAAGTTGTTCCAGTGCTTTTCGACGATGACCTTTTCGCTGGTGTTGATTTGTGTCTCGGCTTTTTCCCTTATGTTTGCAATGAAGATGTCCTTTGTAGCCTGGTCCTTCAGTTTTTGAGTGTTGAACTTGACTTGTGGTCTATCTGCAGCTCCTGTTCCCTTGAAAGCTTTTAATTTGATTTGGATTGTTCCTTGTACGAGATAGTGGTCTGAGCCAACGTCTGCTCCTCTTCTTACTTTTGTGTCCAGTAGGCTGCGCCTCCACATCCTTGAGCTTGAGATGAAGTCAATTTGGTTTTTGGTTTGCCCGTCTGGTGACACCCATGTAGCCTTGTGGATATCTTTGTGCTTGTATACACTGCCACCAATCACTAGTTCGTTGAAGGCGCAGAATTCGGCGAACATTTCTCCATTTTCATTCATTTTTTCAAGAGCTTCTCTGCCCATGATGAGTTCTCTTCCTATGTTGTCTGGTCCCAGTTTGGCGTTCATGTCTCCCATTAGTATTTTAATGTCGCCAGCTGGAGTATTGTCCATTGTTGCCTGTAGAATTCTTCTTTCTTTTCGAGGTCTGCGTTGTTTGTGGGTGCATAACATTGTATGACTGACACTTTCCTTCCTTTGGAGTTGAATCTGGCGGTCATTATCCTGGACGAAATCGCCTCCCATTGCATCAGGGCCTTTGTTGCCGTCGGTGACATCATGATAACCACGCCCTCGGTGTGCGTGTGGTTATCTTCTGGGTGACCGGAGTAGATCACTGACTCACCCGTTGACAATTTGGTCAGTCCACTCCCATTCCATCTGCTTTCACATATTCCCAGCACTTGTATTCCGTATCTTTCCATCTCGTTGGCGATCTGGGCAGCTTTCCCAGTCTCGTACATAGTTCGGACGTTCCATGTTCCCACACAGACTTTTTCTTTTGGTGCAAAGAGGTTCATCATACTGAAGTTTCTTTAGCAATTTTGTTTACAGGGTGGGGTTGATAGCCTCACACCTGATCCCCGGACCTAGGTTTCGTGCTATTTGGCACTCATCAGTCAGCAAGACGTATCTGCAACCATGTTGAAGGAACTCATATCCCACCCATCTGAGATTTGAACCCACGTCACCCAGTAAAGCTATTCGGGATCGCGATTGACCTCCTGTAGAACTATAGTGGCTATTTTGATTTATAACTAGTAACCAGTGTAACTAACTCAGTGGTAACGTCTCTGACTGCAGTACTCACTGGGTGACGCGGGTTCCAATCTCCTCAGAAGGGACATGAGTTCCTTCAATGGGGTTGCAGATACGACTTGCTGACTGGTGAGTCCCAACTAGCACGAAACCTAGATCCGGGGAAGGCTTCTTCTGGCCAATTGCCTCCAACTATCTAATATCATCAAATCAATGTGTGCACCGTGATGGCAAGCTACTTAGTGGAATGGTGGCCACATTGGAAACCTGACTGACTGATAGAATCCAGTCTGCACCAAAGAAACGACTAGACACGTCGTCACACTAGTTACTAGTGTCAAAACGAAATATACATTTAATGCATTATGCAAGATCATGAGTGTGTAATGTGAGAAAATTATATGCGTCTGACTCTCCGTTAATTTACAATGCAATAAAAATATTTTTAAAAAACTCACTGCAAAAACTCAGCAACTAAACCTTCTAGCATAGGCAAACTATGATCATCGAATCGGACGAATGAAACCATGTCTCGGAGTTTAACTATAAACAGAAAAAAGTTTCAAAAGACAGACATTTTTAGGTTCAATTCACATGAATTGTTGTACGTATGAGCCTGAAACCTATGTACATACCTGTTATTTTCCGATTAGTCATCTACGAATGTTTGGCATGCGATTCGCTCCCGCCAAATGTAAGATGATGTGACAGGACTGACTGGACTACGCTAACTCCCAGATCAATTATTTCGCAAGCACCATCAGCCAACGCCAACTGGTTGATCGCTGACGAGATCTCATCACGGATACAGAGGGTTAGTTTCGCATATACCAGTTTACGCCCTCACTGGCGTAGACGTGATATCCGGCTATCGACCAAAGGTTGGGTATACTGCTCAGTAGTCCGCTCCGTCCTCCTTTATGACTGGCTGTGAGACCTGGCCATTGAGAGTGGAAGACATGAAAAGCCTAGCTAGTTGTCTTCGATTATAGGTGCCTGCGCTCTATCTCCCGTGTGAAGTGGTATAATAAGGTGAGCAATATTGAGGTTAGGCGTCGGTCGAGTGCTAGGTAAGGAGGGAGGGGAAATCAATCGACGAGGCTGTGAAGCTACATCGACTGAGATGGTTAAGAAATGTGTTACGCATGCATGCCTAGTCATGCATTGCCTTCCTCGACTACGGGGCAATGTTAGCTGACATAGGGTCAGGCTGGAAAAGAGCTAGCGGCTGTCAAACCAAAACATGGCACCAGTCAATGAAATCCACAACAGTTAGTTTAAGCCAGTCACGTAGGGAGGTGTAGACTGCTGTCTGGTTGGGGTCCCCGGGACGGTATAAACCAATGAAGGCTGGAGACAATTGATGATATGGCTCAAAATCGTTCTCGGTGATGACTGGCACAGATGCATCCACTCCTTGTGACTTATGATTTCCAATGAAACTATATCGTTCTTCGTTATTACTCTTCCTTTGTCTCACACCCCTGTTTACTGTCCCTCTATTATGCATTTCTTCTACTTTCTTCTCTTGCTTTGTGTGCTACAAGGAGGGAGTGTGGGGACTTGAAACGCCACACATCGGTGCAAAGATCTATGCCGAAAACAGGCAGACAAAAAATCAACTAAAATACTTCTCAGCAGTATGCGCCCATCGCCGTTCGAATCCGGGACCACCTTCTGGTTACAAGGCGAGCTACCTCGTAGACCAATACTTAAAATCTCATCTGATGCCCACTACTCAATGGCTGTATTCAGACAGTTGCCTGAGGTTCCAGTGGGGAGCCGTGACCAGTAGGGTACACAGCAAGTCGAAGGTGAAGACAGTTATTACTCATTGAAGACATCGATAAGTGGTCGCGCTATATCGTGCATGAATTGGCAGAAGTTCTAATTCATGCATTGACTGGCTGGCTCGCCATTGGATCGGACCCCAGTGGCTTTATGGTCTACGAGCTAGCTCGCTAGCCTTGTAACCAGATCGTGGTCCTGGATTCGAACCTCGTGGGTGGGAGCATGCTGTTGAACAGCCATAAACTAGGACGGGAGAAACAACTGTCCAAGTACTTCACTGGTGCTTTTCCAATAAGGGTTCTCTAACTCATGTCAGCGCTCATGATGAAATCCTCCAACCAATCAAACAAAATCCTCACAAATCAATGCTTGAAATACTTTTTGCAATACTTGCAACAGTCACACCATACTTAGCCATTGTGATAATAACACTTCTATCAACAAACCGTCTAGAAACAGTTAGACTATATTTTACTTTTCACTTATACCTTTGAAAAAGAGAAGACGTTCAGCGAAGAGACTCTTTTCGCCGGCGAATTCATTCACATAGCTAGCTGTACAATCGCATTTATATATATATATATAATTATTTGTGTGTGAGGTTTGTCAAGTTTAGATAATTACTCAGGTTGGATTAAGTAACATAAATGGCTAGAAATTGAGCGTTGGTCAAGTCAGTAACAGTGGTGATGAGGTGTAGAAATTAAATCGGGTGAGGGTAGAGAACAGGAAGGTTGAAAATGTAAAATATTACAACTGAAAAGACAAAATAATACTAATGAAGAGACAGAAGAGAAAAGGATTAGGTAGAATTTACTTGTCGGGTAATAAGATAGATTATGTCCATTGCAAGTGTAGTGATTGAACGAACTTCTTCTGTATGCAGAGTTCAGGACTTAGCAAGTGAATCGCCATTGCTTCTACAGTTTGAAGAAGTTTGATTCGTACACCTTTAGGAAGGCTGGTTTGTATTCTGTAGACGACTTTGAAGTTTGTTTAGGGTGTAGCTGGGTGTCCGGAATCTAGAACATCTGATAGATTCCTCATGTACAGACACAGACACAGACACACACACACACACAAATAATTATATATAAATGCGATTGTACAGCTATGTGAATGAATTTGCCGCCGAAAAGAGTCTCTTTCCCAAACGTCTTCTCTTTGTCATATGACTGAATGAGGATTTTTAACTAACTCTAACAATTTTTTCATGCTGAACATTATTTTGATTAAGAAAACAAAAACTGTCAGTAAATAATCACAGTTTGTTTTTTTTCAACTTAAACATTTCACCAATCCTATTTTCACTGACATAGGATGGGATGATCGGAAGTCCAAATATCTGTGGGTTTCCTGTAAACACACTAGCGTGTTTAACTTCCCATCTTCTTTTCTTTTTACGCTACAATCTAACATTGGCAGTTCCCCTTCCTGACTTTGCAACTCATCATAAGTCAATTGAATTGCCTCCACCTTTGAGTTAATGTGTTCGAAAAATCTATCTATATCCCTTGTTCTAAGTGCAGTGAATGTGTCATCTACATACCTCCACCATACTTTTGGTGTGGCTAATACGTGTAATAGCTATGATTCAACACCTGTCCACCCAGATATCTGGAAAATTCTACTACCCAAATGACGACAAATAGGAGAGAACAAAGAACATCGTAAAACTCAAGTTTCGAATTCATGTGATTACAATTGACGATATGATTATGATCAATAGGTGAATTGTGTTTGGAACTGTGTCATCCAGTAGATATTAATACTGTTTCTGTGACTGTGTGATACATCTAATAATCAAACTAATATGGAATTACTTACTACCACCACAATGCCCAAGTTTTACACATCATAAAGAAGGGAACATTAAGACTTACCAAACAACCTCAACAAGTGAATTGACCCATAAATGTCTGACATTCTCTTGCCTGTATGCTGTTTCAATAGCTCAGCGTATTGTAATCTCTCGAATTTGTACAAAAGATGAGAACCAATAGTAAGATTGAAAAGATGCTGAATTCCAGCAACAAATTCACGCCTGACACCCGGGTCTATTGGCACGTTAGTGTTTAGTTGAGTGTTCTCAGACTCAGAAGTATAGTTGTTTATTTCACGTGTTGATTCTGATTTAATCATTCTCGCCTCAGAACTTTCTAAGAAATCTGATAAAATATTACATATTGGCTGAGAAGCAGGCAGTTCATAAAGCTGTGAAAATTCAACAGAAGAATAAAAATTCAGAAAACAAAAGGAAAAATATGAAGTGAGATTTACACTATAACAGTAGTAGTAACACTACAATTTATCACACAAAAAACAAAATTACGCTGAGGACAATAAATCTTAACTAGGGGTATTGAGTATTTAATTGGTGGATGGTGACTAGCAGGGTAATTCAGAACTCCTTCCACTGACTCAGCACGAAACTCAATCATTTGTAAAAAAAAATTATATTTGTAAAATCTCAGCGAGATGGAAATCAGTAATTCCAACATTTCCTGCCTTCGTCGAAATCTGGTCCGAACTTCTTCACGGAAATTGATCGAAATTAACATAACAGAGGTTTATATGCAGAAAAGGGGGACATCTGTTGTTTTTAAAATCTATGTCCAATCATGTGAGTCATGAAACAGGTATCAACATGTATAATCAACAGAAAATTGTATGAGCTGTGATCAAAATTTCACCCAAGATCTCTTATAAATATTGGTCTACCTTTGTTAAACACTTTAAACAAAGTGTGTTTGTGTGTGTGTGTAAATGGTTGTAAAACATTTCTTAACGTCTCCATAAGAAGATATAGACAATCGGGAATTTTGACCAAGTATTATTAATTAATTAGTGATACATATCCAATTTCTATTTATTAATCAGGATTTCCTATGTATCATCAGCTAACACACATCACACCTTCATGTCTGTTCAAACTGTTAGCATCCAGAATTTTATGACTAGAGGTATTTTCAAAATCACGGTGTTTAGGATTAGAGTTGTTAGCTGCCGAGTCATCTGACAACTCCAGTAGGTCGAATAAAGCAGCTCAATTTTCGGAAAGAAGACAAAGCAATAAGTTCGACAGGGTGCTTCAACTAAACTCTATTCCTAAACACCATGATTTTGAAAATACCTCTAATCATAAAATTCTAGATACTAACAGTTTGAACAGACATGAAGGTGTGATGTGTGTTAGCTGATGATACATAGGAAATCCTGATTAACAAATAGAAATTGAATAAGGGATTAAGAAGATAAATTTCGCGAGATGATATCATTCTGTAGTTTCTTTACAACCGCTTTACAACTAACATGGTTAACAATGATAAAATAAAGTTAATGAAAATTACTCAGTTAAATAAAAAACGAAAGTACATATTAATAACCAATCATATTTAGATAGGTCATGTAGTCCAGGGTAGGCGAAGATTGAAGCCTATTGATTTTTGTACACACAGTTTAGGCTGATTAATCTAAAATGCTTGCATCACCTTCAATAACCTTGAATTAGAGTTATGTGAAATAATTGTGAAACAGTCATTAATATTTATTTTATGACCAGACATTAATAAGTGTTTTGCAATGGATGATGCTGGATTTCTATTAAGATTAATCGCCTTAAGATTTTCGATATGATTTAGTAGCCATTTTGGAACATGTTCTTTTCGACGACATGGGAACATTCTGTTAGTTCTACCTATATAGATGTCACCGCAGCTGCAGGTCAACTTGTAGATACAGTTTGAAGTAGAGTCCACAGAATTTCGTCCTTTAATTGTAGGAACAGGGATCGAAAATGTTCGGCAAGTGAGAAAAAGAGATTCGACGTAGAATGTGCGTTTGATGGCTGACCGAAATCTTTGAGCTGTCAACTGCATAATCTGGTCGCCCTTGAATGGTAGGTTAATGAAGATAGCTTTCTTTGGTACAGAAGCTGTCTTTTCAAGATGTGGTCTATCCTTACCGTGACAATTGATGAAGTTTTCCGGATAACCATTAGCTAATAAAACTGAATGTACATGTCGAAACTCATCTATCAATGTGTCACTCGTGTATATTTTTCGGGCCCTTGAGAACAAACATTTCACTAGGGAACGTTTATACTGGATAGGAACAAAACTGGTAAAATGAAGATATTGTCCACTCCATGTCTGTTTACGAAAAATAGAGCGCTGAATCGTTCCATCATCTCTCCTAGTCATAGTAATATCCAGGAAACCGAGTTTGTTATTAGATTCTAGTTCGGAAGTCACTCGAATATTTGGATGAATATGATTAAATAGGGTAATAAAGTTTTCGATAGATTTACTATTATTACCAATAATAAGAGTATCATCTACATAACGTTTATACAGCATAAATTCTCCAAGCATACCTTGCATGTGTTTCTCTAATTTCGACATAAATATATCTGCTAACAGGGGCCCCAGAAGGCTCCCCATAGCAACACCATTGATTTGTTTATATGCCTTTTCTTGGAATGTGAATCTAATATTTTCTGTACACATTAAGATGATGTCTTTGATGTACGTTACAGGAATAGGTAAGGTTATCCCGTTGCTTGTGATATAGTCGCAAATGAAATCAACAGTTTCATGAAGGGGAACATTGGTGAATAAAGATTCTATGTCAATTGAACACATAATCTTTTCCTTAATGTTCAAGGTGTCCAGCATTTCTGTAAGATCAAATGAACTTTTTACAAAATGATTTGATAATGAGTCTCTTACAGGCGTAAGCACCTCCGTAATCCATTTGTCGATTTTGTGGTAAGGAGAATTTGACATATCTAAGATGGGTCTCAGTGGGCTCCCAGTCTTGTGGATCTTCGGAAGGCCATAAAGCTGAGGAGTATGTGACCCAATTGCTTTAAGTTGTTTATAAAGTTTTTCATTTATAAAACCATGCATCAGTAAAATCTGAAGCTGACGATTGATCTGCTTTTCCACAAGCAGCACATTATCACTAGCATTGTCCACCAGAAATTTGGACTGATCCTTGAGGATATCCTTCATTTTATTTTCATAATCCGATTTGTTCATAATGACAACGCCTTCTTCCTCATCAGGTTTAAGGATCACAAGATTAGCTTTTTCGATTAATTCCTTAAGTGCGGCGTGGAGTTCTTTTGATAAACCATTTTTCTGGTGTACTCTAGCATTTAGAAATTGATGAGAAATGTCCACCAGTTTAACTTTAACTGGTTTAAATCAATCCAGATTACCTTCACTAGAAGGAGTTAATTCAGAGATTTGATCATAGAGGTTTTTATACTGTGACTGGACTTCCATTTTGTTAATTTTCATGGGAATAGTTTTGTACTTCAATCCATAAGATAATGCTTCCAACTGTAGTTGGGATAGAGTGCATGTAGATAAATTAATTATATGTTTCTGGATATCTTGAGGAAATTCCAAAATGTGATTCGAGTCTTTCAAAGATTTTGTTAATTTTTGTTCCGTGGAACTTTTTTACCATATCATTGCAAAATTGGATATGTATCACTAATTAATTAATAATACTTGGTCAAAATTCCCGATTGTCTATATCTTCTTATGGAGACGTTAAGAAATGTTTTACAACCATTTACACACACACACAAACACACTTTGTTTAAAGTGTTTAACAAAGGTAGACCAATATTTATAAGAGATCTTGGGTGAAATTTTGATCACAGCTCATACAATTTTCTGTTGATTATACATGTTGATACCTGTTTCATGACTCACATGATTGGACATAGTTTTTAAAAACAACAGATGTCCCCCTTTTCTGCATATAAACCTCTGTTATGTTAATTTCGATCAATTTCCGTGAAGAAGTTCGGACCAGATTTCGACGAAGGCAGGAAATGTTGGAATTACTGATTTCCATCTCGCTGAGATTTTACAAATGTCTACTTCTCACTCAGCGCCCAAATATTTTACAACTATTCTGTCAAATCTTGACGACAGTTCATTCGAAAGTAAATCAATTAATAACAACTTTTAATCTACATTTAAAACAAAATTTGGAATTATCTTCAAAATATAACTCTTTCTATGTGTATCTATCAGTTCACCTGATCCTCTTGTGGAGCGAGGTACATTGGCCGCAGTCAGACGACGCTTTCCACCGCACGGATACGAGAACATATTCCAACAGCATGGTTTCACAAGGGAGAAAGGAAGTGTATGTGTGTGCAAAGCTCTATACTGGAACACCTGATCGACTTCTGTCACTCTACACCAACCCTGACCACGATTTTAAGATCATATATAGAATACATGCCAACTTGCCGTTCGCGTTTTCTTCGTTACAGACTTCTGAAGACAGCTGAGACCTTGGAAATTCATGAATTTAAGCCAGACAGGCCTTTGTGTACAAAAGAAGTATGTACAATCCCCACTTCTGCCTTGGCCGTAGAGGGATAGACATTTATTCATTTAGTTATTCTATTATTAATACGATTACTATCATTATTACTATTCTCACTCTGAATTGTTTCCACTCGTCCCACTTGTCATTCCAAACCCAAAATTTAATCATTTTTATATTTTCTATTTTTACAATATTGAATTCTATCTTATCAAATTTCACACCATGTTATGTAACATTTTATAGTCGTCTACTAATCCTATAATTATGTACGCCTTCCCAAAATCTATACACACCTTATGTATTATTCTATAAATGACATTAATTATTTTGCCACTTGATATTAAACTATGATTATAATCACAAATATTTTAATTGCATTTCATACTACTATTACTTCTATTATTTCATGTGTTCACATCTTTCGTCTAATTCCCTCCCTCACCGGATATAATTTCTTTAAAAGCTATGTATTTATATACGATTGTACAGCTTGATAATAAATTCGTTGTTGAAAAGAGTCTCTTCTCTGAATATCTTGTGTTCTTAATGCTACAATGGGAATTATTAAATTATTGAAAATATAACAATCTCTCTCTCTCTCTCTATAAATTGCATAGATTATTGCAGAATGAAAAGTATCACCATTAGAGTAGTAATTATAAAAAAACATAAATTTTTAAAAAAATAGACAAATACGACAGTAAAATATCATTAAAGCGTGAAGATGCATAACACTGATCTGAACAAAAAGTAGGGTTACTACTTTATAAAGCCGATGAGGACTTAATGTCTGTCTGTCTTCGACACAGAACTTTGCACCGATGTGTGGCGTTTCAAGTCCCCACACTCCCTCC